TCTTAAGCCTGGACTCCACATTACCTGAAAACAGAAACTCAGAAACAGAACTGAAACATATAGAGTTTTCGTTTCAGTTATGTTTTCGTTTTAAGTTGACACCACTAGAAATGCGCCATCTGTTGATCAGTTCTGTAATTGTCGTAGAGTCAAACATGGACGACGCTACGGATTTTGCCACGCTTTCTCTGCATTTATTAACAATGAAATTGTTAATAATCTTTATTTACTTTTTTTGTCGTACAGACATGTTTATTTTTTTAACTTCTTCGATGAAGAATTCCAAATTTATTTGTTTCCTCATCGTTTTCGCTACACTTTCCGCCATTACGACAATCAAACTACTGCACGTGATAAATGCACGTGAATACGCGTCACAAATCCTTGCGTTTTTATTGGTTGGAGTACGACAGAAGCGCGGAACGAAAACGGAAAAGTTAAATAATTTTTAACTCTGCTTTCAGTCTTGTTTCTGTCCAACTGAACGTTTTGAAACTGAACGTTTCGTCAGTTTGGCTTTCAGTTTTTAACTTTTACGATTACGTCGCGGTTCCGGTAATGTGAAGTCCAGGCTTTATACAGATGTCTACTGTAGTTTGGTTATGTTGAAGTTTTTCGGGTTTTCTTCAGGTTTGTAACACCCAAACAGAAGCCAATTTCCCATAGAAAGTCTTTCTGGGAGATATTCTCCCTCAGCAAATCGCCAAACTGTTACTTTGCCGTAAACAAATACTGTAAATCAAACCAAATCTTTTGCTAAACGAAGTGATCACCACTCGTCATCCTATTGGTTAAATTGATTTTCGGCAATTAATGCTGGAAAATGAACAACCAAGAGATCATGGTGAAAGGCTTAAGTCGTGCACTAATAATGGAACTGGCACTTTCAGCTTGACAATAATGCCATTTGTGTCGAATAAAAATCTCATCTTGATTTGCTTGAAATGGTCGACAAGAAATTTTAAGCTGCCCTTCTAAATCGTAGGGCACTACTGGTTGAAAGAGGCTCATTTTCTAAAAGGGACATTGTTCTTCCACCATGAAATATTTCCTGTACATCTTGATGATTTCTTACATCGTTTGGTTCAATTTCAAACAAATTTGTAGTTAGTAATGTCTTTCTTGATAAATATACTTAAAATATCACTATACTCCACTAAAACCGTGGAATATAAAACATGCAGATGGAAATGTTCTGATTTAAATTCAATATTTGAATCAGAACATTTCCTTTTACATTTTCACCAGAAAGCCATCTTGTTTGTGATAATTATAGTATTTTATGTTGACTCGTATTGACAACTTTGTGAATAATTTTAAAATCATTTTGTCTTTTGATACTGCGAGAAAAATACAGGTATACCTCGACTTACGTCGTTTCGAGTTACGTCGTTCCCGATTATACGTCGTTTGTCAAAAAAAGTATATGGAAAAATAGAAATCAAGTTTAAGTCATTTTATTCGACTTTACGTCTGTCCGACACAAATATTGAAGTCGTAATATCACTAGAAAAGCGTTTAAAGAACATAAAATCATATTAAAATATATACATTTACAAGTATGTACTGTATTTACATTACATGCATTCGTAAATTTAGATTACTTTATTCTGTACTATAATAAAAAGTAAAATTTATTTGTTTGTAAGCTTAAAATAGATCCTTATTAACCATATATTATTGAAAATGCATTAATAAATAAAATACAGAAGTAGAAATGGTAATTTATGCTTTAACCTAGTGACAACTTGATTCGGAGACAAGTAAACTTACGTCGCCTCTCCTGGAAGCAATTACCGACGTAAGGCGAGGTATACCTGTATTATATAATATTTTTTAGAAATGATTCGAGATATAACGGAATTCTTGTACAGCAAAAGACAAGAGAATGGTAAATGCAATAAATAGAAAAAATTTATGTAAAATTCTTGCTTTAATAATGTAAGGAGCCCAGTTTTGTTATCTGATTATTGCAGCACAGTTATCACTGTGCTGCAATAAAGTGGTAACGGTACTATTATATCCTGCAACGGCACTCTTCTTTCTTGACAAATTGATTTGACAGAGCTTTGCAAATTCTAATCTGTTCCTTCTTCCACCAACGATGTATCGAAAAGAACATTTTTCGCATCGTTTTTACTTTCCCCAGTGTTATATACTCAGTGGTGCGTTATAACTTTGTGGGGTTTGGGCAATTTGAATTAAGAGTCCCATGAATAGTGCTGACTTCAGACATTTTGCTTCAGGGGAATTTTAGGTTTTCTGCCTTGTTAGTAATCGTCAGATACAAAAGAATCCTCCTTTTCTCCATAAACTTTGGCATATACTTGAATACTTGAATAATGATAATAAATTTATAATTATTTCTGCTATATATTATTTTATTAATAAATGCATGATTTCGTTTAAATTATTCTTAAATAATATAAATACTTTACAGATTCAACATTGAAATTTGTTATTTGTCAGTGATTATTTTCCTTGGAATCGAAATCAAAAATTAAAAACATGGAAGAAAAGAAGAGTCCTGGTAAGTAAAACTGATATAGTATCTGATAAAAGGGGCTGTTCTTCAGTTACGTTTACAGTTTAAGGAAGAGGTAGTAGTAAAAAGTATCTCATTGTGCACAACAGGAAGAGAGGGTTCAAAAGTGGCTCAAAAATTGTACTGTTTTAGTTAGTTGTCAATAAAAGATGACCAAGAACTCGTTGGTAAAGTAATCTAACGGTAACACACTGTTTTTATATACTAAAGAATTTGTACAGTACTTTACGATGAATGTTCAGTTACCAAGAAGTAAGACACATTTGTGAATCGCATAAACAGGAGCAAATCTAGGTTTTTCGGGACCTAGGGCTTATTAAAGTCCGATGGGGCCCCATTTTACCATTTTTACCAAACCTAACCTAACCTAACATATTAACCCGAGATCGAATCCGGACAGGTCAAGGAATCCCCAGGAATTTTTCGGGGTTCGTTCGGATATGTCGTTCCTCACCACCCGGTCGCCCTATTCTGGGCCTTGCCGAACCCATAATGGTCCTGCTATAAGAGGCCCTCTTAGTGCCCACAGGGCAGAAAGAGTTTAAAAAAACATATTAACTATTTTTTACTATAAGTGCTGATTGTTAATGAAAAAGTATTAAAAATTTATAATAATAAGTCTATTTTTGTGGGCCCTTGACACTTGAATTCCCGGGGTTTAATTCCTATTAGTCCCTATGCAGATCCGCCTCCGCGCATAAATGCAGTTTTATTTACAGAAATGAAACATGCAACAGGTAAAAGCACACATTGTAATCTGCAAAAGCAGATTGTAAAAGCACACATTATGTTAGAAATAACATAATCACCACTAATGTTGAGACAATATTCCCAGCCATCAACAAGGTTTTGTATGCATCCTTGTAGAAATGGGCGCTTTGAATTTCTAAAGTATTGCTCTTGAACTTCCTCTTCGTTATCAAATCTTTTACCAGAGAAATGACTTTTCAACGGCTTAAGCAAACGGAAGTCTGAAACAACCAGGTCGATACTACAACTGAAAACTTTGAAATGTTGAAAATTAATCTTTTCAATCATGTCTGCCCCGTATTTCTTATGACTGTCGTCCTCTTGTAAGTGCTGGAACACACTATAAACTTCATCTATTGACAAAATTTTAAGATCAAAATTTTTCAATTTTAATCGAATTTTTTCTCGACAAAAAAGATTTTTCCGCCATTTTTTTTAATAAATAACAATTTTTAAATAAATCAAAGGTAAATTCACAGAAACACACAAAAATCGTCAGTCCTAAAGTGATAATTAACTTCTAATCAGTTCTTTCTATTTTCAGGAGTAACTTATATTGAAAACTCGAGTAATTTTCAAATTGGAAACAGATATTACTGGTCAGAAATNATTATATATATATTTTAGATTTCCACGTCGATAATAATTTAAAATTCTGAAAATATTATTTTAAAGATTATAGAAGACACTTAATTTCATCGTCATTTAATAGAAAATAGGTCTATTTTACCATTTAAGAATGAATTAAATATTATTTAAGTCAACATTAAAAAGTAAATTAACGGATGATCGGAAGTAACATAAAAAAAGAAACAAAACAAAGCTGTGACGGAAGTTGCGTAACTTTTCAGAAAGTAGTTTCGCTTTCAATCATCCAATCGTTTTCTCAGTTGATAAAATACACAACAGTGAATATAAATAACGGCTGTAATTATCGAGATCTTAACTTGTTTGATATCAAAGGGGGTAAGTTGTATTGAAATATTTAATTGTTAACCAAAGTCTCCTTTTAATTTGTTTTTAAAAAAAAGCGCTTGACAAACTTGCCCCGCATGCCGAAGTTGCCCCGGTCTCCCCTATATAGGCTCTATATTAAATTTATCTCTTAATAGATTTCCTGATCCTTATAAAATATTGATAATAAACTGGAAAAAAATCTAAAATTGTTTGGTTACGCAATCAAAATTATAAAAATGAAAAACGATAAATAACAACATTTAAATTAAAATTATTTTTCATTTTTTGTATTTTGTAAATTTTGGGGAAATTTTGTGTATGTTTAAGAAAAATTTGGGATCCTGAAAATATTCTGCATTCCCTTTTCATAAGTTGTATTGCACCACATTACTTCTTGCTGCCTGCAGACGGCTACACTTACTCATGATATTGTCAGCAAAAGAAAAAAAAATCAACCAAGGGTTCAAATTCTTTGACTTTTCCTGACCTTTTGACAATGTTTGACAAATTCCCTGACTTTTCCCGACTTTTTTCGTACATTAATGAAAAATCCCTAATTTTCCCTGAATTTCCAGGTGTGTATTTGTACCCTGTTTATATATACTGTATACAGTATTTCATTGTATCTTAAATTTGTTAATCGGATTAATATATTTTATTAATAAAGTATATATTTCCCATTAATTAATTTAAAACTTAAATTAAATATAAAACGTTTAATTAAATCGCTCGTATTATAATATTTAATTTAATGTAGTTATTTAAACTTTACTTCCAAGTGAATGTCAACTCTGCAGATATTAGATTAAATATTAGAAATTTGCTACAAAACTTTTAAAATGCGTTTGTTTTATTCTAAGAACATTAAAAATTGTTTCTTTTAAAGAAATTATTTTATCAAATTATTGTTTATAAAAACAATAATTTGATAAAATAATTTCTTTAAAGCAATAAATCTCAGTCGAATTGAAAAATTTAATTTTTTGGATAAAATATTTCGAATAAATTTTAATTATATTATTCGCTCGACATCTTATTGAATATAAGTTATAATTTATATTAAATTATGTCAGACTTAACTATTATTTAAGAATTAAACAGACAAATCTGGATAAATACAGGATAAATATAGAAGAAATTAACGTTATCGAGAATATAGGGGAGATCGGGGCAACTTCGGCATGCGGGGCAAGTTTGTCAAGCGCTTTTTTTTAAAAACAAATTAAAAGGAGACTTTGGTTATAGGTTAGGCAGTTGAGTTTTATTGGTGGCTTGTTGAGTGTAGTGTTTTTATTGTTCTCCAACAAGCGTAGTTGAATTATCAAGCAAATTTTCATTTTCGTTCAATTCNACAGACATGTTTATTTTTTTAACTTCTTCGATGAAGAATTCCAAATTTATTTGTTTCCTCATCGTTTTCGCTACACTTTCCGCCATTACGACAATCAAACTACTGCACGTGATAAATGCACGTGAATACGCGTCACAAATCCTTGCGTTTTTATTGGTTGGAGTACGACAGAAGCGCGGAACGAAAACGGAAAAGTTAAATAATTTTTAACTCTGCTTTCAGTCTTGTTTCTGTCCAACTGAACGTTTTGAAACTGAACGTTTCGTCAGTTTGGCTTTCAGTTTTTAACTTTTACGATTACGTCGCGGTTCCGGTAATGTGAAGTCCAGGCTTTATACAGATGTCTACTGTAGTTTGGTTATGTTGAAGTTTTTCGGGTTTTCTTCAGGTTTGTAACACCCAAACAGAAGCCAATTTCCCATAGAAAGTCTTTCTGGGAGATATTCTCCCTCAGCAAATCGCCAAACTGTTACTTTGCCGTAAACAAATACTGTAAATCAAACCAAATCTTTTGCTAAACGAAGTGATCACCACTCGTCATCCTATTGGTTAAATTGATTTTCGGCAATTAATGCTGGAAAATGAACAACCAAGAGATCATGGTGAAAGGCTTAAGTCGTGCACTAATAATGGAACTGGCACTTTCAGCTTGACAATAATGCCATTTGTGTCGAATAAAAATCTCATCTTGATTTGCTTGAAATGGTCGACAAGAAATTTTAAGCTGCCCTTCTAAATCGTAGGGCACTACTGGTTGAAAGAGGCTCATTTTCTAAAAGGGACATTGTTCTTCCACCATGAAATATTTCCTGTACATCTTGATGATTTCTTACATCGTTTGGTTCAATTTCAAACAAATTTGTAGTTAGTAATGTCTTTCTTGATAAATATACTTAAAATATCACTATACTCCACTAAAACCGTGGAATATAAAACATGCAGATGGAAATGTTCTGATTTAAATTCAATATTTGAATCAGAACATTTCCTTTTACATTTTCACCAGAAAGCCATCTTGTTTGTGATAATTATAGTATTTTATGTTGACTCGTATTGACAACTTTGTGAATAATTTTAAAATCATTTTGTCTTTTGATACTGCGAGAAAAATACAGGTATACCTCGACTTACGTCGTTTCGAGTTACGTCGTTCCCGATTATACGTCGTTTGTCAAAAAAAGTATATGGAAAAATAGAAATCAAGTTTAAGTCATTTTATTCGACTTTACGTCTGTCCGACACAAATATTGAAGTCGTAATATCACTAGAAAAGCGTTTAAAGAACATAAAATCATATTAAAATATATACATTTACAAGTATGTACTGTATTTACATTACATGCATTCGTAAATTTAGATTACTTTATTCTGTACTATAATAAAAAGTAAAATTTATTTGTTTGTAAGCTTAAAATAGATCCTTATTAACCATATATTATTGAAAATGCATTAATAAATAAAATACAGAAGTAGAAATGGTAATTTATGCTTTAACCTAGTGACAACTTGATTCGGAGACAAGTAAACTTACGTCGCCTCTCCTGGAAGCAATTACCGACGTAAGGCGAGGTATACCTGTATTATATAATATTTTTTAGAAATGATTCGAGATATAACGGAATTCTTGTACAGCAAAAGACAAGAGAATGGTAAATGCAATAAATAGAAAAAATTTATGTAAAATTCTTGCTTTAATAATGTAAGGAGCCCAGTTTTGTTATCTGATTATTGCAGCACAGTTATCACTGTGCTGCAATAAAGTGGTAACGGTACTATTATATCCTGCAACGGCACTCTTCTTTCTTGACAAATTGATTTGACAGAGCTTTGCAAATTCTAATCTGTTCCTTCTTCCACCAACGATGTATCGAAAAGAACATTTTTCGCATCGTTTTTACTTTCCCCAGTGTTATATACTCAGTGGTGCGTTATAACTTTGTGGGGTTTGGGCAATTTGAATTAAGAGTCCCATGAATAGTGCTGACTTCAGACATTTTGCTTCAGGGGAATTTTAGGTTTTCTGCCTTGTTAGTAATCGTCAGATACAAAAGAATCCTCCTTTTCTCCATAAACTTTGGCATATACTTGAATACTTGAATAATGATAATAAATTTATAATTATTTCTGCTATATATTATTTTATTAATAAATGCATGATTTCGTTTAAATTATTCTTAAATAATATAAATACTTTACAGATTCAACATTGAAATTTGTTATTTGTCAGTGATTATTTTCCTTGGAATCGAAATCAAAAATTAAAAACATGGAAGAAAAGAAGAGTCCTGGTAAGTAAAACTGATATAGTATCTGATAAAAGGGGCTGTTCTTCAGTTACGTTTACAGTTTAAGGAAGAGGTAGTAGTAAAAAGTATCTCATTGTGCACAACAGGAAGAGAGGGTTCAAAAGTGGCTCAAAAATTGTACTGTTTTAGTTAGTTGTCAATAAAAGATGACCAAGAACTCGTTGGTAAAGTAATCTAACGGTAACACACTGTTTTTATATACTAAAGAATTTGTACAGTACTTTACGATGAATGTTCAGTTACCAAGAAGTAAGACACATTTGTGAATCGCATAAACAGGAGCAAATCTAGGTTTTTCGGGACCTAGGGCTTATTAAAGTCCGATGGGGCCCCATTTTACCATTTTTACCAAACCTAACCTAACATATTAACCCGAGATCGAATCCGGACAGGTCAAGGAATCCCCAGGAATTTTTCGGGGTTCGTTCGGATATGTCGTTCCTCACCACCCGGTCGCCCTATTCTGGGCCTTGCCGAACCCATAATGGTCCTGCTATAAGAGGCCCTCTTAGTGCCCACAGGGCAGAAAGAGTTTTAAAAAACATACTAACTATTTTTTACTATAAGTGCTGATTGTTAATGAAAAAGTATTAAAAATTTATAATAATACGTCTATTTTTGTGGGCCCTTGACACTTGAATGCCCAGGGTTTAATTCCTATTAGTCCCTATGAAGATCCGCCTCCGCGCATAAACGCAGTTTTATTTACAGAAATGAAACATGCAACAGGTAAAAGCACACATTGTAATCTGCTTTCTAACGTAATCACCACTAATGTTGAGACAATATTCCCAGCCATCAAGAAGGTTTTCTAAACTATTGCTCTTGAACTTCCTCTTCGTTATCAAATCTTTTATTAGAGAAATGACTTTTCAACGGCTTAAGCAAACTGAAGTCTGAAACAACCAGGTCGATACTACAACTGAAAACTTTGAAATGTTGAAAATTAATCTTTTCAAGCATGTCTGCCCCGTATTTCTTATGACTGTCGTCCTCTTGTAAGTGCTGGAACACACTCTAAGTTTCATTTATTGACAAAATTTTAAGATCAAAATTTTACAATTTTAATCGAATTTTTTCTCGACAAAAAAGATTTTTCCGCCATTTTTTAAAATAAATAACAATTTTTAAATAAATCAAAGGTCAATTCACAGAAACACAACACACAAAAATCGTCAGTCCTAAAGTGATAATTAACTTCTAATCAGTTCTTTCTATTTTCAGGAGTAACTTACATTGAAAACTCGAGTAATTTTCAAATTGGAAACAGATATTACTGGTCAGAGATTAATAACATTCTACGCAATTATAATAGACAGAGAAGTGAAGAAGTTGAAGATGATGATGATGATAACGAAGCCCTAATATCTCTTCCAGATGAATTGATCAGTAAGTAATGATTGGAATTTTTGGGTTGCAATTTTCAAATTACAGATCTGTACATTCCCACTATTGTATGACTGTCCTTAATTAATCTCGGGAACGGAGTTATATAGATGAAAATCGAGACCATACATAGAAAGCTTAAAGACCGAAGGTCCCGATATACGAACTTCCAAATTAGACTGGAAATTATGTGAACTTTTTTAAAGATAATTATAAATTGCATCCCGTCACAATAAATGATTGCTCCTTATTCATCTTTTCATTTGCAATATGCGAAATTTAATTATGCCAGTTTTCCGTAGAAAGTCCTCCTGGGAGGCATTGAGGATCGTCATGTGTTACGATGTCTTATTGGTTTTGGTTTATTTGTATTCGACAACGCGACACATGAGCGATTTGTCGAGGGGGTGCCACTCAAGAGAACTTTCTAAGAGAAACTGGACCCTACTTAGGTGCCATTAAAGTGAAGAAAACCCGGCAAACTACGGCGAACACACAATCACCTACCAGTGTCCGCTGGTTTTATCCACTCCGTTATTGGCAGGCGCATTGCCTTGTCCCATCAATCCACAATCTATTTGAAATACATGAAACATTTGATTTAAAACATGAAAATACTATTATTTATTTATTATTTTTGCAGAATCTGAGCGAAAAATAGAGGTAGACGAATTTTACGTAGTTGCAAAGAGAATATCCGATAAATGGAAGAAATTGGCGCGTTTTCTGCCTCCAAGTAAGTCTGATACGTAATCGACAATATTTATGATAATTAGAAACGTAATTTTATTATTGAAGAACAAAATATTATTACATCTTTGTTACTTTCTTCCTTAAAATACGAAATATTTAATATTTCTGTTATAGAAAATGTATTCACGGAAGGAGAATTAAAAATACTGCAAAATGATAACAAAGATAATCTGGAGGAGACTATCGTACAGATGCTGATTTTATGGAAAGAAAGGCGTCCAGATTTAGCCACTGTTGGCAATCTTGCCATAACTCTTCAGTCCATAGAAAGAGCAGACATTGCAATACTATTACATCCATAATATTCACTATGAAACTCGTAATGAATATTTTGTTGTGAATACTTTTTAAAAATAACAATAATGTCTTCACCAAAAAACTTTAATTTTTAAGAAACCAAATAAATGTTACATGTTAACAAATAAATAAATGGTTGTTTGATTTCATAATTTAATTACCACACGTAAAGAAGAAATGAAGCTATTAGTTATTTAATGTAAATTTTAGCTTTACGCGTACAATGTCAAAATAAAATTTTAGACATTCGTAGATAAAAACCACCGAACACACTGGTCGTGGGTTTCGAACCTCATCAGCGGGCTGGTTAATGTGAAAAAGTTTTTCACGTGAAATGTCAAGTTTTTCACAAAAAGTTTTTTAAATTCCCAAATAAGCTCAGTTTACCATATAAAGTTTCCCCAGAGGCATCCCTCTTGGCAGATCGCCCACGCGGTAATTATTAAAGGAACCACGTGTTTTTTTCTTTAACTTATTTTAGAAAGAGGCATATTTGATAGATTAACACACAGAATATTCATAGAATATACATAGAATAGAATTTTTTTCCGGGCGACTTTACTATTTAAATTTACAAATACACGATGTCTTAGAAATCGTGAACAAATCCGATTGTCCTTAATTTCTTATTTTAATTTGCTTATATTTTATTCTAATTTAATTCTCTAATTTGCTTTTAGTCATAGTTAACATGCTACTAGCCATCTAAGGCCTAAAGTCGTAGTCCCATTGAGGAAGTTTCCACCTCAATCGAAAATATAATACATATTCTCTGAATGAAGAATGAAAAAGAAAGATAAAGATTCTCTAATTAAGTCCCCAAGTAATAAAAGGTTTGTAAACTCTCTCATTCGGTAATTGGATTAGAAATCTTCCAGTAGGTTTAGATCCGTTGCACTGTATATTTTAGAAAACTTGCATAACTTGTCATCATTTAATATCTACTCGTATGTTACTCCAGACATTATATAAATAAATAGTTCGTTATTTTATTAGTCAAGCCTATCGCCATTTCCGAATCGGCACGACCCTCCTCCATTCCGCGTTACCACTCGATCCCTTCCATTCGAAATATAGAATACAGTATAATTAGATTTTATCGCGAGTTAGGATGCGATATTCTTGTTTATTCTAACTGATGTCATGAGGATTTTACAATCTTGCCGTCTTCTTACAAATAATAGAGAGGTTGCGGCCGACGTATACGTGTACGTCGGACGCGTAAACGTGTATGTCGGACGTTCAGCGCCGCTTTCCTATAAGTCTAAAAGTTTGATTATGGTGTTTGGATAGTCAGTGGAATCATGCTCGACGTCCCAAACACCATTGCCAAACTTCTAGGCCTTTAGGAAAACTTCCGACGTACACGTTTTCGCGTCAGACGTACACGTATACGTCGGCCGCAACCTCTCTAATAACAAATTGCCATCCTGTACAGTGAGCGGTACCTCACGGACCCCGACTCGTGTTTGTAATGTAGAAATCAACATTTCATTACAATAATGGACGTCCTATAGATTTAATCTTTACTTAACCAAGAATATAAACTGAAATATTAGCCCATAATCTTGTTAGATATTTACATTTCATTTAGACTTAATGTTTATAACAGAATGCTCTAACTCGTAAGAGTAGAAAGTGGAATTACGAATATAGTAAAATAAAAGGCGACTTAAAAGTTGATATATTCTCACTCTAAAACTGCTTCTGGAAATCTTTTCTGGCTACGAACTTATACAATTCGAAACTTATGTCAGATCTGTAAACAAGAAATCATAATACAGTGAAATCTCCATTAAGGATTCAGTAAGGCCAAAAGCAGGAAATTTCTGTTTCTTTAATTCTTTTTATTTTTTTCAATTTTTCTTTAATGTTAGTCAGAGAATATAAGTAATTTAAAGTTACTAAGTTGTATATTATACAACTTAGTAACTTTAAATTACTTATATTTTATACTGTACTTTACACCCCCTCCGTTTCAGCAGTTGAAACTGTCAAATTTTTATTCATAAAAATGCAAACTATATTCTTTGACTAACAGTAAAGAAATACTTAAAAAGCTGAGTCTGAGAAAAAGCTTGACATTCTATATTTAGAAACAAAAGAAGAAGAAGAAGAAAACAATTTGCTTTTCTCAAGAAAGCTTTTTCTACATAATAATTCTATTTTCACGAAAGAATATTATCACTTCACATGTATAAAAAATGATTTCACATTAATTAAATATCTTTCACTTCATAACTTTTGTGGTATTTTAATCATAGAAGTGGAGAAGTAACTTGACTCACAAGTCAGATATAAAATTACTAATAATTAGTAATTTTATATCTGACTTTTGACTTTTGAAATTTTGAAAATAACAATATATTATATTGTTATTTACAAAATTTTTTTTGCTCACAACGTATTAACGGATCCATGGGTTTAACGTTTTCATAGATTTTCTCTATTTCTTTGGCTTTTATTGTGAGGACCCAAACGGGATCCGTTTAAATTTGAATGAGTCAAATTTCGTAGCGCGAAAGAGCGAACTTAAAGATTGGATTTAAACAGTGAACCTTTTGTCTTGTTAAAAGATTTTAAACAATAGATAGAGTTGGAGAGGAGTCGTGTTCCGACGCGACGTTGACTTCTCCGGCGCCCTTCGTTTGGTTTCGAGTTGTCACCATGTGACGAAGAGAGACCAATAGAGTGGCGACGGTGGTGGAAAAATCGATAAAACCGCGTTTTCGGGAACTTTACGAGGTCTTGAGTTTTGGTGCGTAGTGCTCACCTGCTGGGATTTGGTGCTCACAACACAGAGAGACAACGTAGGCTCTTTCGACGCCCTAGGAGCTGGTTTCACCAACCTGTCACGTCCAGAATCGCCGAGGTTCGACTCGTCAACCGAGGACATCTCTACAAGCGCTGGTGCGTGCTCCGGGGCCATCGTTCTCCCCGTCCAGCGTGCCGAAAAATACCCAAGGACCGACCGAAGTCGAACTTTTCCGTTTTTATTGGAACTGTTATAGTAACCCATCGTTGGATAGGCTTTCACCTGACTTATTGAATTATTGTAAGAACAATTTATGTATATTATTAAACGGTTTTATATGGTAAACCTGTCTCGGTGAGTCATTCTGCGCCCAGAAGACAGAATTGACCGCTCGGCTGTCGAAAACACCGCACCCCAATCGGCTGACCTCACATTTATCTTTAACAACTCCACAAATTTCTTTGGAGCTTTTCAAAATCACCGCTATTTATATACTACTAATAGATCATGCGTCGATCACTTGCAGCTATCAGGCACAGCAGAAACGATCCTTGCATTTGCCGACACGGAGAGGTGATCGAAGAACAAAGTAATGGCAGTAACGTAGCTTGGATGTCAGCCGCCCGGGGCGGAGGAAATTTCGCCGCTCCCTAGTATTGCCACCTTTTCAAAATTGCTGACCCGGACGGCAGGTGAGGTTAATCATCCTGCGCTACAGAGATGATGTATTACCTATAATTTGTTTTTTAATAATACTCTGCTCAAGATACCCTGCTTAAGAAATGTGTTGTTGCCCAACTTCATTCCTACTTGAAGCGGCAAAAACATACGTCAATCCAAGTTCTAACTACTTAGGCTGAGAATTATGTTCTTGAGACCTGAAACAGTTATTTCTGTTCATCTTCTTAATCTATAAGTACTCAATCACCAAGATATTTATTAATTAAATATATATTAATCACGAAAATTTATAATAACTCTATATCTATGTAAATGTTAATAGTTAAATTGTGATTGTCCTATCAATGTTCCTCAACAATTTTATCTATTTATTTTTATTTTTTTATTTACCATTACTACAACTTAATGTTATTTAATTTTCTCTTCGAATATATATTGTAACGTATTTGTATTGTTTATCTCCTGGTAATGCTCATGCGGGGCCAGGAATGTCAGTAGCATAGCGTAGTGGGGGCGGCCCACCCCGGGCGGCACAATATCACAATAATAAATAATAATAGCAGCTTGTAAGAATTTGAACCATTTCATTTCATATTTTCGTCCACCTACGACTCGGACCGATTGANATGTCAGGTGAGGTTTGTTCGAACAGAAGTTCCTGACGCATGTGCAATGTCATTTTGCATCGCGAAGAATAACTTGCAGTGTATGCCGGTTCTAAACCAGTAACAGTTACTAGGGGTTAGGGAGACTTGGATAGGAGTAACGTAAGTAACCTAAATTAAGAAAATCAGCTACAGATGACTTAGCTCTATTGGATATTGGAGACATGTACGAATACGAATCGAACATGGAAAAAAAGGTCGAGATAGGTTGGGCACGATATCCCCGGAAAAAATTAATAGTTCACCCGGACAGTGAGTTGATTCCCGGACTATCCGGGTGAAAACCGGACGGGTGGTAACACTACCGCCTCCTTATTTAGGTATCTCAATTTAAAAGACTAAAATTCAATTTTGTCATAAGTAATGAAAAATTCCGTGCTCATTTCAATCGGTTCGAATCGTAGGTGCGACAAAAATATAAAATGAAATGGTTCAAATTTTTACAAGATATTATTATTATTTATTGCAAAATTTTGCCGCCCCTAAAAGTGCCGCCCGGGGCGGCCGCCCCTGCCGCCCCACTACGCTACGCCACTGAGCAATGGCCGTCGATTGCTCTGTACTTGTTATGTTTGTTTTTTGCGCTCATTTTTCTTAGGCACGCACAATGCTTTCTTTTTTTATTTTTGTCACCCAAATTCCACAAGGTACTCTCGACCGCGTCGGGCAACACGAACATCGTTACTTTGACCCAACCGTATCTTGAAAAGACAGTGGCAAACCCTATCTTTTATTACATGTTTTGATTCATCGTTTAAATTAATAGAAAATGGCGGAGTTTAATCGAAATCGATGGAACGAGTTTCAAGAACGAAAGCAATTCTGCAAGCCTCATAGAAGAGGCTTCGCCAACGCGACTCCTCGATAAAAGATAAGGATTAAATTTCACACAAAAACACATTAAATATCTATAATTAAAAGCGATGTATTTAAATTTATAGTTATTATTAGTGATGTAACGAATATTCGGTTACTATTCGGTATTCGGCTTATTCGGCCTATTTTTCACTATTCGGCCGAATACCGAATATTTAATCACTATTCGGCCGAATACCGAATACCTAAAAACAGGAGTAATAAATAACAAAAACATAGTAAATTAATCATTTTGGTATTTAGAGTTAATGTTATAGAGTTAGTGTTGTTTGTTTATATTTATTTATAACTTGTAACATGCACAAAATAAAAAAGAAAATAATATTAGTCACATGTATTCACAATTTATAATTACAAAGATCAGCACACGTACACGTCTATCGTTGGAGAATCCTCGCACATCTGAGGGTCTGACCCTGCCTATCCTTCTTTTTAAGCGCTCGTCTTTGCTCTTCCCTTTCTCTTTCCTCTATCGCTCTAATCCATGTATGCCTGTGCATACATCATAATACGCGCTCACGATACTTTCGATTCGTCACTTTTCCGTCGTAGAGTTCCCATTTTACAATTACGTGACTCAGCCTGGTGATAACGGAGAAAAGAGACAGATAGGACGTCGATATAAGTCACAGTTATGATTTCACAGATTCGAGACAGCTTGATAGCCCGAACGGCCCCAGGCTTTCGCCCGTGCACGCTAAGTGACTTTCATTACAAGCATTTAGCTTTCCGAAGTCTATGACAACAATTGTTTAGCATTGACGGCCGCGAATTTCGCGACAATAAGCTACTTCGACTCGTTCGATTATGTTATCGACTCAATTTCATATTTATTTTCACATTTTCACTTCGCGGTTCTTCTCTGTTCTTTCTCCGTTATTTACACGTGTAGGACATTTCATTGTTATCCACATTTGATATCATTACTTATCACATACTACTGCTTCAATTGTCAAGAATTAACTCGATTGGCGAAGCGTAGTGACAGCGGGCCAACAGAGAGCGGGGTCATTGCCATAATGCGGTTTGCGCTCCAATTTCCGTACGTTCGATAATCGAGCCGAATAGTTTGGCCGAATATTCGGCTATTCGGCCACGCTCCTGGCCGAATATTCGGTATTCGGCCTGAGGCCGAATATACTATTCGTTACAACACTAGTTATTATAATTATGTTCTGGAAGAGGTGAAACGCACGATGCGAAACATGACATCGTTGCTATATCGCTTGACTCCTCCAAAAGACCCTGCATATGTTATTGATAATTTTTAATATTAATTAATTTATTTACATTTTTATTTTAATTATTAAATAATATAAATTTTTTAAAATAAATGTAACAACTCATCCATACGTGTAATTTATATTTTTGTAGAAAATAATAGCTGGCAACACTTTCTCGAACCATGTGTTTAGATACGAAGTATGAACATGTGGTTGAATAAGATGAAAGTTTGTTTATTTGCCCGTTCTCTATTGACTTGCAAATACCGTAAATTCGTTACGTGTTTTAATCTAAGAACGAATCAAATTCGACGTATCAACTATTCTAGAATATTTTACCTGTGTAATAACAATAAACCTAAGAGCGAAATCGAACTTGGAAGTCGAAGTGTCAAGGAATTGTTAGAAAATGCTGCAGAATTCAAAGACGATTTGCAAAGTGAAAATGATGTTTGGAGTACTCCTGTGTATCCTGTCAACGCAGATCCACGTCGGGATCAGGCTGTCCATTCTATAAGGCCGAAAGTGGATCCTAGAACTACTAGTGTTGTTCTGTTTCCAGGACAAGTAAATTTTACTTTGTTAAATTGTTAAACAAATATTTCACCTGACAAAATATCGTTTGAGAAAGATGCTGTTTTCTTATTGGAAAAAATATGAACATGTTATCAAGAATTGATGATATTTATCAGCAATTATATCAAGCAGTTTAAACAGATTTTTTTTCAGAAGAATCTAAATTATGTTAAATTTATTATGCTAAATCCCAAAACTGAAGTTAGATGATTCTGAACAATTTAGATTGCTTACATCTGTAACATGATTTAGGCATAGATACTTAGACATATTCAAATGATCTATATATGTTATTCCTATATATATATAGGTTTTTTCAGTTCACTTCCATTGTTAAACTTGCAATCTTTTCACCTTGTCTTCTTGAAAGTTCTATTTGTACAAGAACATTTCTTTTTTTACCCAAATGTATTCTTTTGTTCTAGTCATCAAGCCAGTTTTGAGGCACATTGAGCCATTCTTCTGTTTTGTACTTTACTTGTTTACCTTTTACATCCTCCCACTTTGTAAATCCAAGAGTGGGATGTTATATAAATATAACTTAAATACATGGATGACATCTGATAGTTTTCCTTTTTTCTCCCATTCTATTTCATATAAGACATTTGATACTCGTCTTATTACTTTATATGGGCCAAACTTCAGGAGTTATAATATTTTTTGCTTGATTGCATTTTTATTTTCAACTAAGACAATGTCCCCACATTTAACATTATGTTCTGGTGTGTGATATCAAAATAACTCTTATTTGCTTCCTGCTTACTTTGAGTACTTTTGTAAGCCAATTTTCTAGCTTTTTCTACTGGAGGGTGAGCATTTGGTATGATTTGGGGAAAAGGTGGAATGCTGAACATGACATATTTGGTGAAAACCCATTACTGGGTGAGGAGAGTTGTATTCTTGGTTATTGTTTTTAAAAATTTACTCCAACAACTGATCCTCCCTACTTTCATTCATCTTACATCACTTCCTGGTTACGATAGTTTGGTTAATCCTTTCACATAAGCCATTACTTGCTGGATAATTGGAAGATATAAAATGTTAATTTTATTTCTTGTTTTTCTAGAAAAAATGTAAATTATTTTGAGTTAATTTCTGCATACTTGTCTTCTAATATCATTTTTAGTTCTTGTATTTCTATAATACTATTTATTAAGTTCATGAAATCCTTGGCAGTCTGAGTTCTGGAGCTTAATATCCAATGGGTATCCTTTCACAGGTTTGCATCCTGTCAGCTTGTAAAGGTTTTTTCTAGTCATTCAATTCTGTCATTAAACTTGCACTCATTTGATCTTGTCTTCTCAAAAGTTTTATCCACTGGTCAAGGTAAAAGAACCGTTCTTCTTTTGTTCTAGTTATCTAATAAGTTTTTGGGCACTAAGCTGTTATTGTTTTGGTGGTTTACCTCTTTACCTTTACATATATACAGGAAATCCTCATTAATTCAAATTCCTGTCAGTTCATAACTGTACTTTTGTCCTGGCCAGGGATATAGAGATTTACATGTTAAGGAATTTGGTTAGTTCAAAATATGGCTACTTTGTAATTAATTTGAAGTGAAAATTTTGTGTAAACTGAGATATGCATACTCATTTGTTTAGATTGAAGTGCCTTCATAAGAGAACAATAGACCAATAACAATTCTAATATGGTCAATATGACTTTGCTTTTACAGTAACACATTTTTGGATGTCATCTTATATATGGACTACCCTTTTTTCTCTCATTTCATAAAATATGGCTGGGTTTCAGGATTGCAAGATTGAGATATTTGTAGGGCTCTAGGCTACTACTTTTTGGGCCACTTTAAAAATAATTTGGGCTACATTTTGAGAATTCTATACTACTTTTTATAAAACCTATATGGTGATCTGTCAGGTTCTCACAGACAAGTGCTGTTTGTGGGTCTCACAGACAAGTTTATTTATTGTTATTAATTATTGATTAATGAAAATAGTGTTCTACTTGCATAATATTACATTAAATTACATTTGGTATATTATACAAAAATATGTAAATCTTGGATAATTCGAAATCACAAATATTTTGTCTCCTGAATTTTGTACTAAGGATTCCCTGTATACAGTAAAGACCCTGCTTAATGTGGGGGATGCGTTCCTAGATGACAAAGCGTTAAACGAAACAGTGTTAAATGAGGACATTTTAACATAGAGTAAATAGGGATAGGGAAATACACAACTGAAAATTAAAAAATTTTACTTTAATTTTAAGTTATATTTATATTAATTTGTATAATAATATATGTTAAATAATGCACAAACATATGCACACAGAAATGTATAATAATATATTAATTAGTTCAGTTTTTATGATGAAGATCCTGACTTTTCTGAAATTCTTGTTCTTTTGCATTTATTGCAAATGTTGTGAAATTTCATTTGCCAATTTTTTCTTTCCTAAGCAAATGTTGGTAGTAGAAGATCGCATCAAAAATGCCTTGTTTTGCTTTTGCACGCCTTTCAAAATCTAGATCATTCACTACAATTTGATCAATAATTTTGGTTATTGTTACCAAACTTTTACTAAGGAAATCTGTAGAGAAATTTTTTGGGTTCTTCATTTTCAGAATCACTATTTTCCAGTTCTACAGGGATTCCTTGTTCTGCCAGTTCTTGAAGGTCGTTGTTGATTCTCGTCAAGAATTCTTGGATACCTTCAGCCATAACTTCTTCCACACTTCCTCCGTGCATTTATCAGTTAATTCTTGTCAAGCCAAGCCAATATTGCCCATAGCATCCATGATGTTATATTTTTTCAAAAATTGCTCCAAACAAACATAGATTTAAAAAAGTATGCCTTTTTGCCATCTTTTTCTGATTAGTTTGTGTTTACCCCAATTGTGTTTATTGATACAAATCAATAAAATGCTGCAATAATTCAAATCAGCGTAAATTTTGAGCTTTTTTTTTTTTTTCTTTTTTTTAGGCTTTGAGCAGACGGCGTTATATCAAATCAGCGTTAAGTAAGGCAACATTAAGCGGGTGTCTTACTGTATATATATATACAGGGTGACCAAAGTCTGTGTGCAGTTTAAAACATTTATAACTTTATTAATATTTGTATATAGAGAAATTATGTAGAATGTATTGGAAATAAGAAAATCTGTATTTTTTTATTGTTTTATTGTATGTATGTCGTAAAGTCTTTGCAAATCCGCACTTAAAATGTAAATTTTAATATTGGCGGTAGACTATCACACAGCTTTAGCCAATGATTTCACTTTATTCTATTACTATAGATGCATTTCGGTCCTTTTCTAAAAAAGGTCCCTCTTCAGTACTATAAAATACAAAAGTTTACATAAACTTTTTTTGCAAGTAAATATTTAACATAACAATAAATATTTTAGTATTACAATACCATTTGAGTACACAGTTTTATTTATACATCCCTTCAGCACTTTCATCTTGAGTGCACTAAATTATTTTTATTTATATCTTGCTGTAACAAATTTTACACTATATTAGATCTAACAATTATACTTANAAGTTTATGTAAACTTTTGTATTTTATAGTACTGAAGAGGGACCTTTTTTAGAAAAGGACCGAAATGCATCTATAGTAATAGAATAAAGTGAAATCATTGGCTAAAGCTGTGTGATAGTCTACCGCCAATATTAAAATTTACATTTTAAGTGCGGATTTGCAAAGACTTTACGACATATATATAACAGCAGTCATAAGAAATTTAATTAAAATGTTTTATTGTACTTTATTAAGTTTCCACATGTCCACCATCATTAGTAATACAAAGGGTAATATAATTTTGTAGTTCTCTAAAAACATTTGCCAATTGATTTACAGTAATGCCTGAAATCACATTACTTATTTTAGCTTTCAAGTCTTCTAATGATCAAGGTTTGGTCGCATACACTATTGTTTTCACATGTCCCCATAAAAAAAAATCTAATGGAGTCAAGTCATGGAGGCCAAGAAAATGGTCCACCTTTTTCAATCTCTAAAAACATTTGTTACTAAATAATTTTCCTTAAAACTAGGTACATGAAGCTTTCTAGTACTTTTTACAGATTTTTTCCTATCACAAATACTAATAAAGTTATAAACTTTATAAATTGCACATAGACTTTACAGACACCCTGTATATATGCTATGGACCAAGTGATTAATAGTGCATTATTCATAATGCCTGGACAATATGAATAATGACATAACTAATATAAAACCTTAGTGTGTATGTGAATTCCTTATAACTGTTTGTCATTATGAATAATGCCCTATTAATCACTTGGTCCATAACATATATATATATATATATATATATATATATCCAGATGCTTTTTGCAGTAAGAAATTCTTAATTCTTTATTTGGGACCATCATGGCCAGGCCAACAATGGGATGATTAAATGATGAGGGACAGGTCAATATATTTGGGATAGACCACTTCCCAAAAAATTCCTACAGTTTTTGATCATTCAGATCTGATCCATGGTCTGTAGTGATAAACTGCCATCTATGCCACCTTGACTATTGGACTGGCAAATATAATTAATGTTTATAATTTTAGTTATAAGAATATAAGAAATTTATTATAATTAATACATACAAATGTCTGTAACTATAGTAAATTGTTTAGCTATCTTGGAAAAATAAAACTAATAATTTGAGGATAGTTATTTTTTACAATATTTGTAATTAGTAACTTAGAAATAATATAATATATATATAATTATAAAGTATTTCTAATATATTTAATTAAGCATATAAGAACTTATGAGCAATTAATTAAAATAATTTTTCTCCAGGGTTCACAATATGTTGGAATGGGAAAACAATTATTGGAGTATAAAAATGTGAAAGAGATGTATGAAATTGCCAGTCAAATTGCAGGTTATGACCTTTTGCAATTATGTCTTACCGGACCAAAAGAAGAATTAGACAAGACACTTCATTGTCAGTTGGCAGTTGTTGTTACATCGTTAGCTGCCGTAGAAAGGTTAAAAGAAGAAAATCCAGAGGTAATTGTGTATATACAATTTTTGTAATTTGTTTTTTCTTTTATATAATATAGAATATTTAAATGGATCAAATATGTTATTATAACAAATTTTAAAAATTTATAAATGTTTTACAGCATTCTTATTTTCTTCAAAATATTATATTTTAACTGATTATATATTCTCTGAGAAATTTTGATACATTTTTAAAACTTTAATATATATTTCAAACATTTTCAGGCTATAGAACAGTGTGTGGCTACTGCTGGTTTCAGTGTTGGAGAGTATGCTGCTTTAGTATTTGCTGGAGCATTATCATTTGAAGATGGTTAGTAGATTCTAGATTTTAATTAAACTTCAATCTTCCATAAAATTATTAATAATTACATATATTTTAAACAAAATTTTCTTTATATCAGTTTTAAAGTGAAAAATAACATATTCGAATTAATGTAATTTTTATTTATTTTGAATTTCTATCACAATTTAAATTCCAAGATCTTTTAATTCATCTGTTTTTATTGATTTCCATGAATGATTTTTGCAGTGCAACAACTGATTTAGTTATGGAATAAATTAAGATAATGAATTAAGTAGATTTATTACCTCACCTAACTGGACGTCTTCTTAAACACAAAAAATCCAGCAGTTTAAAATCTTAAACTTTAATGTAAAAACGAACGTTCTCGATTGTCTTAAACAAAATTCAGGTTTATAAATATATTCAAATATAATGTTTTATCAAATGTAAAGTTTAAAAAGTTTTTTTTTAAAAAGACTGAAAAATGTTGTATCAAATGCCCAACCAGACAAAGTCCCCATTATTTTTATTGGATTTCATATAGGGCTCTCCAGGCCATTGATGGGGTATCATTGCACCTATAATTAATGGCCAAGTTATTTCTTTTGATCTTGAATATTTCCACTTTTCTATATATCTAAGATTGGAAGGTTGTCTCAAATAATGTATTAATTTTGTCTATATGTCCTGTACCTCAATGCTGGATGCATAAGTGACCAATGCAGTTGTAGGTTGCACTTTTGTGATTGACAGATAATGTTCCTGTAGGTGTTGTAGTAGCTGTGACATTGCCTTGATGTATTTTAGTTGCTCCCCACTCTGTTGTTTGAAATTGGTATAGAATAGACTCCTGAAAGTTCATAACTATTATGAGGATCTTTGCTTTTGTTGTTTCTAAGTATGAATACAATAGCATTTTGTTTATATGCTATGGTCAATTTGTATTTTATTACTATGTAATTTATACTTTTAGGTTTGTTATACTGTGCAAATATATATATACACCAAGATAAAAGCTTTAAGTTGAATGGCTGCAACAGTTGGTGTTGCAACAAAGTGTTTTTGTATTGTCATCTTGAGTCACTATAAATTCTGTGGATCTTTAAACATTCCTCTACGTTTTATCATATATTTTCTGAATTCTGTAATGATGTATAAACATAATATATAAATGATAAAATATATATTTAATATTTGTAATACATTTTTTCCCAATATACAATATAAATCAGATAATTGCATGATTTAAAACAGCTTTTATTCTTCAAGTTATTTAATGACAGGAGTCTTGATGATTTGTAAAATATTTATGTAACTATACACACAGCTTTTATCTGTAAACTCATTAAAACTGAACCTGAGCATTTCATATTTCATTGCATTAAAAGTTAATTTTTTTATTAGATATTTTTGAAAATTCTGTAATCCTGAACCTCCAAGTGTATAGGAATGTAATTCAATGATTCAAAACTTACTTTAATAATATTTGTGTGTGTAATCAACCAAAATAAATATATTAAACTAAGTTTTGGAACACTGAATTACTGGGAGTGTTCCTATACATCTGCAGACACAGGATTATGGAATTTTAAAGAATTATTTAATTGGAATATAGCCAGGGATCCCAACAACAAAGGTAATTTTTCAGTAAATACTACTACTAGATTTCAATGTAACTATTAAGTAAGCCTGTCAACATTTTCCAAGTACATTAAAACACTTTATAATGAACATAAAATAATTGTATAAACATTGATTTCTATTATAATTGTTTAACATAAAACTTATTATTCACTAAGTATATAAAACATGGCTAAACCCAATATGTAGATAGAAACATAATCAGGCTATAACTCCTTTAATTTAATTATTAATACTAAGTAATTTGTTACTAGAGGTAGACGTTAGGTGCCATCTTCTCTAGTAGCAAATTACCGTTAGTATTAATCATTAAATTAGTAGAGTTATAGCCCAATTATTTAGGCAATCGTTTAGTTATGTTTCTATTATTCACTAATTTTTCACAAATGATGCATTTATATTATATCAATATAATTTTAAATCCAAAATAGTATGTCATCCACAACCTAAGCTTAAAGCACCAACATTAAAATGTCTCTACAGTACATACTGAATGAGACTTACTTCGGCTAAGTATAGTCTATTATTTTAAATAAATATTTAAATAGCAGACACTAAAAATAAATTTGTTATAATTTTCATTTATGTAATTTCCCTGAAATAATAAACGTAGATGCATAGAAAATAATCTATATATGTAGTACAATTCCCTGAAACCATCTACATAAGACATGTGAAATGTTAAAGCTCTTTTTATATTTCTGGATACATGGGTGCAGTCAGAAACTGTATAGTTAAGACATTATACAGTATGATCATAAAATCCCTCTGCAGTGGGCAGGGAAATAGGAGGAGCTTCCAGGAATGAAGTAATGATGTCACAGACAGACCATGTGTCAAAAATTAAATTAAACTGTTATGACATCAGAGTAGTAGTGACAATTGCAGAGGGACTTTGCAATTGCACTATATTTAATTTTGTCTATGCTAATTTTATGCTAAATGCCCATTTTCCTCAATCTTTCTTTCAATACTGTTGACTATTGTAGATGCTATTTTTTATATCATTTAATTAGAAATCTGTATACAACATATATTCCAAGATCTGTATCTTTTAAATTATAATACTAATTTTTCTTTAGCTATTAGATTAGTAAAAATCAGAGGTCAAGCGATGCAGGAAGCATCCGAACAGATTTCCAGTGGAATGATGACAGTGTTTTTTCATCCTGATGCCAAAATTAAATTTGCATGTAAAGCTGCTGAACAGTGGTGTAAACGCCAAGGAATTGAAGATCCCGTTTGTACAGTTGCTAATTATCTTTACCCAGAGTGTAAAGTTATCGCCGGAAATATGGAGGTTAAAACATTAGTCATTTATTTAAATTAATTGAATATTTTTTTTTTTTATTGATTAATTTTTCTATTTATCCTTCAGGCTTTGAAATTTATAGAATTAAATGCTTCTGATTTTGGAATAAAGAAATTAAAATATCTTCCTGTTAGTGGTGCTTTCCACACACTACTCATGAAACCTGCAGAAGAAGTTTTGAAAAACGCATTAAAAAATACAAATTTTAATTCTCCTCTAATACCGGTTCATTCAAATATCGACGGAAAGCCGCACAAAGATGCAAGTGACATTCGGAAAAATCTCTGCAAACACGTCTGCAAGCCAGTCAAATGGGAACAGACTCTGCACATTTTATACACAAGACCCACAGATACTCCATTTCCAAATAGTTTTGTTTGTGGACCCGATCGTTCGCTTCAAACACTATTGAGGATGGTGAATTTAAAAGCTTGGAAGAGTTCAAAGCATGTTGAAACATAATTTTAATAATAATGTTGAACATTCTCAAAACAGAAAGACATTGAAAAAATTCTATAAATTCCTTTAGCATGAAACCAAATAGCAAGATACTGTATATTTTATTTAAAATAACAATATCTGAATCGTGAATTTGCAATATTTTCACTAGTATGAAAGTTCATTTGTACTTCTCATAATAAAGAATTTAGTTGTTATTTATAAATATTTGAAAATTCTGTAAAGAAATTTTAGATAATAGTGTTTTATGATGTCTTTTAAATTTCTAATAATCTTCAAAGAAACTATGGCTACTCGGGATACTCACCTCAGTAAAATTCCTATAAATTATAAAGTACTGTACACAAGACCCACAGATACTCCATTTCTTCTATTTATTCTCTGACAAATTTTAATTTTTCTACATATTCTGGTTATCTATGCTGATTGAGTCATTCAAACAGCCTCCATTATTTGTCATTAGATATTCAACTATCAATATTATGAGGTTGGGTGAAGAATTACTTTCACAATGCTGCCAAAGTAAAATCATCTTTGAATTCATGCTTTGGTGTCCTTTCAAAAAATTAAATAACTCAGTATACAATCTCAACCATAATAACTTTACCACCACTTTGTATATAAGAGAAGTTGATATTTGTTTAATGATTTATGCAATGTTTTAAAATATAGGGTGAGAAAGAAAGTCACTTAACACCCCTGCTACAGAATATACTCAAAATTAATTTGCTCATGTCAGGAACACATTACACTAAGGAGGAAACAGACTGATGTATGTTATGCATGGCTGCCATCTTGAAGGTGGCCAAACTGAATGCAACTTCAAAATTGTAAATGGGAAGATGGACGAAATGGTAATTTAGGGTCATAATTTCACAAGGAATTGATTGCTGAAAGATTTTATTGACCTACTGCAAACAGTTAGAGTTAAGCATGTTCTATGATGTGTTCAATGTACATTCTATATTCTGTAGCAGGGGTGTTAAGTGACTCCCATCCTGTATATACAAGAGGAGAAGCCTGAAAAGGAACTGACTGATTTATGGGTGTTATTTTTTAAGGAGAACAGATTAAAACGTATGATTTTCAGTAATTGTCAGCAAAACTTAAAAAGATTTCTCAACTTACAAAATCAGATGGCACTATTGTTGCTGCAGGCAGAACTTTTAAATGAAGTTATTCCTAATCAATGGTCTGGCAGAATAGACGAATTTGGTTTCCACTCTGTTCTCGACATAACACACAAGAAAAAGTCCAAATGGGTTATGTGAAGGACTGGTTTATTGAACACTTTTATATGTACTGAAACGTTAAAAGGTTGCATTATAAACAGTCAGAACTGTCACTCAAGATATATTATGTAACATCTGGAAAAAGATTGAATATTGTCCTGATACTGTGAGAGTAATGCCAAGTTTTCTTAGATGAGAAATCTTTTTGAGGTTTGCACACTAATTAGAGCAAACCATAAGTTGTGACTTTTCCTAAAATAAATTTTCTGTAATCCATCACTTCTTTTTTGGACAATATATATATTTCATTTTTGACCTTTTCTATCTTGTGAGCACTAAGCAGCGTAGGGCTTTTCTCCAGGCCCATAATGAGGACTAACTTATTCAGGATGGCTGCTTATCTGGGCTGGATCTTGGATCCCCAGAATAGTAGGCTGATGCCCCTATTTTAGCCATTGGCTGTCATTTTAAAATAGAGAATTTCTTGCTTGTCTTGTTCTTGCTATGAGAACCTTTTCATATCTTATCTAAATCACTGCTTTCCACTTTTAATAATAATAAATTTTGAATCATTATCCTTATAATTTTAATAAAAAATTGAAACTAAGGTTACAGGAATGTTTGAGAAAACATCCATAAATATTTTGTAACTACAGCAACAGAAAATGTAATGTAAGTAATAATAAAGTCACAGTCTAAAATTCCACTATAAATTTATACTTTTTATAAATATTGAATCATTTATTTTTTAATATAGGTTTTATTTCTAATTGAAATTCTGACATAGCCTGAAATAAGGAATCAGCATTGTTATTCCTAGTCTACACCCTTGGCTAAAAGTATAGAATCAGCTGAGAACACACGGATACTTATTTCAAAAACATTTTATGAACAGACGTGAGAAGACAACATTAAGTATATTATGTTAGTCATGGCTACTTTACATACACATTACTGGGCTCAAACGAACAACCAAATTAACCTGAAGTTTCTATTAATGCTCATTGCAAACACTAATCTGGGAATGATTGTGGAATTGCATACATAATGGGGAAAATGTAGTGTTTATTACAGTAGAACCCCTCTAATCCGTCACCTTTGGGACTGGGGGTATGATCGGAATGCAAAAAAAGGTCGGATTATCAGAAAAAAGTAAAATAAACAATCTTCCCCTTTGTCCAGTCTTTGTAACACTGCTAATTTTTCATTTAATGAAAGAGTAACGTGTTTAAGTTTCACTCCTGACATGTTGAAAACACACACAAAACTACATGTATACACAATGTAAAACATATACTGTAACGAACACAGAAAAATGCCACGGACGGTGAGTCACCGACGAGTCGGGACAAGTTTCTCGACTCCGACCACGGTCGGATTAACAAGAGTGACGGACTAGCCGAGGGCGGACTAGAGGGGTTCTACTGTATACTAACTACAGAATTATTTCTTTATTTGCAAGTAAGCTCAAGTGAAAGAATCATACATATAAAGCTGCAGCATGTCTGCACATAACAAAAGATAGCTGTAGCTCCAAACAAGAAAATGCCTATTGATACAGAATCTTTAAGATTACCGAGGAGGGGAAATCAAAATGGGAAGTTGCAGCATATTGTGGTTGTTCACTACCATTTCCAAAGTGTGAAAGAAATATATTGAGGAAAAAGTGGTTAAAATGAAATGTTCTAGTAAGAGACATAATTGCAAGACAGATACAGTTGAAAGGGATTTTTCATATCATAGATGAACTTTACAATAAATTTAAATGTTGGCAGCGATGGAAAAACCCATGACCCACAGGTTGTGGGCACCGACTCATATGGTGATTTCAAGGTACTCATAACAAATGTTTAGAACACACAGTAAAGTGTCTTAAATCCAGATTCAGCTGTGGAAAATGGATACAGTGATACCCCGAACTTACGCAATAGGTGGGACCGAGCAATAACCGCGTAAGTCGTTTTTTTTAAATATAGTGATTCTGTAAATTATATTTTGAATTTTTGTAAATATTCCTACATTTGTTGTGAAATACTGGATTGAGCTTAGAACATCTAAACTTGATTTACAGTGTAATTGGAGTTTACAATGCTTAAAATGCTTATTTACACTTACATTTGAAAATTCAGATGGAATCCAACCGTATTACCAATAATCTTGATTTTTGACACCACCATATTTTGTTGTTTCTTGCTTTATTTTTCTCACATAGATTAAAAAGTTAAATAAAGTAAAATCTGAAAGCATTTTCTGTCGACTTTTAATTATTCAAATTAAATATTTGACCTGTAATTTGTAGTTTCTAAATTTCAAATTACATTTTGAACCCCTTCAGAAAAGATTCGCCAACATTGATCTGGGATGATGCAGAAGCAAATAGTGCACAAAAACTGTCAGGAATAGAATTCACAAAATAGAATATTGATACAGGAAAGGAAAAAGGAACCTATACTAACAGCAAGACAAAAAAGATGTGAATGAAGTGGGCTAAAGAGAGTATTAGACTCCAGAGAAGTGGATGACTTGTATTAAGTGACGAGCATGTATACGTGTTGAATGTGGTGACAATTACCATGTTTATCTGGAGACGCTGAAATGAACAATACAAGGGATGCATAACACCTACATTCAAGTATCCTATGCCACTTGTATGGGACTGTATGCCAGGAAATGGTGTATGAAAAAGTGGCTATTATGAAGACAACATAAAACTCAGCTGTTTAGAGATTCTGGATAGATTTCTCAAATCATATATCAAAAACATGTTTCAAGATGTCTCCAATCATGCCTTGTGAAGATTACCATACTGTGCATCTCCACATTGAGTTGGCCTCCAAGTATCCCAGCTTAAACCAATTGAAAATTTCTGGTCAAAGATACAGGTGAAGAGATGTGTTCTAACAACTACAGCAGTTATCTGCAGCTATCCATCAAACATGGTCATAGACTACTGTAAATCTATACCTGAACCCATCATAGCTGTAATTCATGCCAAAGGTGGTGTTAATCATTACTGATTGTGACTATATGCTATACTTTTCCCCATTATGTAAGAAATTGCACAATTAATTCCAGATTAATGTTTGTTATGAGCATTAGTAGAAACTTCAGGTTGATTTGATCCCAGTAATATGTATGTGAAAAAGCCATGATTGGCATAATTTAATGTCTTCTTTGTTTTGTCTCTGATAATAAAATTCTGCTTTTGAGGTAGCTTCCCAATGCTGTAGTTAGACAGGTGCAATGGATACAGTCATATGGCATTAATTTACTTTAATTCAAACAAGAATAGACACACAAGTACTTTCAACATTTCACAAAGAATGTATTTATGAAATGTTGAAAGTACTTGTGTGCATATTCTTGTTTGAATTAACCTAAATTAATGGCAAAAGTCAGTGTGTATTTATTTAAAAAAAAGGACTTAACATAACCAGGATAGACCACCTACAAGATTTGATCACAGGCCCCGAAACAAGAATAATTGCAACAACAATAAAAAAAGATATAAATCAGAATAACATAACTTCAGAGAATAAAAATTTATATTATTTTATTTATTTTTTTTCACAAAAAATTATCTGTAAATAAATCACAGAGACAGTACTAAAAAAACAGCAGAATATGTTTATTACAAAACTGATACAGACTGTACATTTCACTCATTTATCGAGTATAACATTCATCTTACATGTACAGTTTTGAGTAATAAAAATTCTATGAACAAAAATACTCCAATATTGACAATTTCACATGACTGGTAAATAAAAATATTAACAAGCAATGAGACCAATAAAACAATCTTTATAATTTGTTTGCATAAAAGATAAATATATTTTGTAAGTGGCAATGGGATGCGAGCAGATCCGTATAATATAAAATTCAAACATCAAAACTCTCTTCGGGGAAGATCAGCTAAATTATACAACACGGAAAAGTCAGTAAACGAGACCGGTAGATGACGTAAAAGTTATCAACACAGGTTTCTTTAACTTTTGCAAGTTCCGAATGGCAGAATCTCGCTTACATTATCTGTACAAGCTCTTCTACAGCTAGATGAGAAAGTGATAATTACCACATACCCAGTGTAACTCACTAAATAAGATGATAAAATACTATACATATTATATTGTAGCAGAAGGCAAATTTTGTGCTTATACTATAAGCTACATAGTATTTGATGCTACGTGCTATGTTACAGAAAAATAAATTTGGGAAATGCTTCCATAAAGTCTATTATTGTATTATAATTTCTCTGGTGCTGCTAATTTTAAATAACTTTTTATTAATTGATTATTTTGCATGCTGTGAGCTGAATTTTTATTAATTTTTTTTTTTTTGATTCTTCGGTTGACACATTGGCACTTTGAATACACTAACTATATACTATTGCAACACTAACTTTTATGAAACAATAAAAAATTAATTAAATCAAGGGCAGAAATGTTAAAAAAAAATGAAAAATTTTTAAATAAAATTCAACATACAAAATATTATAAATTCACCAATTGACCTTTTCATATTTTGCTTCAAAGGTGCAAAGCTATCTGATCACCACCAGACACTAAATATTTATTTATTTTACATATATTTAATAGTGAGCCTCATATAGTTTATCATTAAACAAAAGTAGTATTTTTTTTTATAATTAATAAACCAATTTTTAAAAGTTTCTTTTATTAGAAAAACAATCTTGATAGATTAAATATCATATATACATCATTCATTTAAAGGCAGATGCACGTGGGTGGTGAAATTAAGGCAACATTGAATGTCAACAACAGGTTAAACCAATTGACTATTTTAACTGTCAAAAATGGAAGAGATGATCAGGAGGATCAGTCATTGATGTTTAGTGTCACTTTAATTTCGTCACCTAACATCGATGATCTTTTCTCATCCTCCGCGATTAAAATAGGCAATTGGTTTAACCTGTCATCAACATTCACCACTCTTAATTTTGCCAGCCGCATGCATCAATCAGCCTTAACAACCACATAGGAAGTAATAAAATAATCTCTTATAAAATAACATAAAAAAATAAATGTCTTCATCCTCATCATCATTGCAAACAATTCTAGTTTAAATCTTAGGACCCAAACAGGAATTGTTCATGATGATGATCAAATTATATACAACAATTTACTGCTGATAATGTAAGTCATAAAATAAAATAAATTTGCAATAAAAGGAGATTATTAATAATAATAATATATGATCCATACTATATTATTATATTATCAATATTATAATATATAATTGAATTAAACTGAAATTAAAAGCTTCTCTGTGAATAGATAAATCTTTCTTATTAAATATTTTAGCACTGCATAATGTTGATTTCAATATGCATATACAATTTATATGTTATCAATAAATATTTCTTATTACATACAACTGCCATTATACAAAGTAATTAAAATATATACAGAAATGCTTTCTTAAAAATAACTGTCATTTACATAAGGATGGATCAATAAATAACAAGTCAAAAGAAACATGGCTGGTTATTTACTGATCCACTTTATGTTACATAAGTAGTGCCGTGACAGGGAGGCAACGTAGGCGTTTACAGTATCTGAAGTGCCAAATGACAAGGTACAGTATGAATTATAATGAGCTATATGGATAATAATGTGAAAGGTTTGCCTATGGTGCTAAAAACACTGTCACTGCCACGACTCTGGGAATATACAATGGAGTCCTGTAAATGTCGAGGATAGGTTCTATGTTATAGGAAATCGCATTATCGAGACCTGCATTATCAGATGATTTTATGCAAGTTTAAACCTAGGCCTAGAAGTTAAAGAACAAAACATATACCTCTGGATGACAAAATCTGAATTTTGTATGAATACTAGTTGCAATTTTTTCGTCATGTTATACGGGAGTTCACTGTACAGACAGTTCTTGGCTAACACAATACATTTCATGATAGCAATGTACTAAGTGAACCCTCCCTACTTTCTTTGGAACCAAAATAGTGGCATAGTCCAAAAACTGTCCATAATTAATTAAAATAATTTTTCTCCAGGGTTCACAATATGTTGGAATGGGAAAACAATTATTGGAGTATAAAAATGTGAAAGAGATGTATGAAATTGCCAGTCAAATTGCAGGTTATGACCTTTTGCAATTATGTCTTACCGGACCAAAAGAAGAATTAGACAAGACACTTCATTGTCAGTTGGCAGTTGTTGTTACATCGTTAGCTGCCGTAGAAAGGTTAAAAGAAGAAAATCCAGAGGTAATTGTGTATATACAATTTTTGTAATTTGTTTTTTCTTTTATATAATATAGAATATTTAAATGGATCAAATATGTTATTATAACAAATTTTAAAAATTTATAAATGTTTTACAGCATTCTTATTTTCTTCAAAATATTATATTTTAACTGATTATATATTCTCTGAGAAATTTTGATACATTTTTAAAACTTTAATATATATTTCAAACATTTTCAGGCTATAGAACAGTGTGTGGCTACTGCTGGTTTCAGTGTTGGAGAGTATGCTGCTTTAGTATTTGCTGGAGCATTATCATTTGAAGATGGTTAGTAGATTCTAGATTTTAATTAAACTTCAATCTTCCATAAAATTATTAATAATTACATATATTTTAAACAAAATTTTCTTTATATCAGTTTNATAAATGTAATCAATTACTCATATTTATAATAATGCTTGTTTTTATATTAATAATTCTCCTTCAGAGTTAAAGATTTTTCACTTTTAGACCCACAGATTTCTCTCATGAAGAACAATGTGATTTTCTTTGTTTCATTCCTTTTCTGCACTAAGAAGACAACACTTGATAAAATCTATAGCTTATTCTAAATACAACTTGAATCCAAACTCTTAAATAGGACATGTTAATATGACACTTCTACAATTGTAAATTCAAAATGAATATGTGATTGTACATGATTTCATATCATTGCATTTTGCATGAAAAAGTTATATTCTTTGTCATCATTTGGAATTAATGCTATTATCAAGTACTGCCAGTGACAGTGAAGAATGACAATAACTTCTTTGATCCCGGTGTTAAGTTAGAGGTAGAAATTAGATTACACAAATTCTTTTTAGAAATAACCATAAGTTTTATGGAATGTCAAGTTATCAGAAATCTACCGTAATTAATTTGAAGTTAATTAATTAAGTCGTGTTATGAGTTGTTAATATATATAGATAATTTTTTTTATCTAGGTCCACAATTTCTGGACTTTTCATGACAGCATTAGGGCTCTGTTTGCAAAGTTTTGAAATCTATCAAATATTTTTTTAAACTCTTTCTAAGCATTTGGTGCAGGTACCTTGAAATTGTCACATAGGTCACAAGTTTGTTATCACTGATATAAAGTATACTGTAATAAAGCACACAGTGTAATCACCCTTTGGAAAAAACAAGCATAATTTTTAATAATATTGAAATCGGTTGTTCACATTCAAATTTGAACTTGACATTTTATTTTGCAATAGGATAATTTAGGACTTATCACTAAAACATGAATAATATTCCAATGTTTATATAAAATTAGATTGATTAAAAATATATATAGGTGATAATATTTTTCAAAGATAAATACAAGTTGGCCCTAAAATCAGTTAACAATGTTTTGTTTTGTGTGTTTCAGGCATATCTGTGAATATAAATTGTAAACTGAATCTGTTAAAGCATTGTAAAGTGGCATGTTGACAGATTCCTAATTTTTGACTAATTTCTGTAAAATGTAAGTAATGAAATATTTTATAAAGCAGAAATTTATTTCTTCAATGATTAACTGACTTTTGAACTACCATATTTGAGTGTCAATTGTTAAGGACTTTCTCAAATGCAAATTCAATTCAAATGCTTTTTGGAATGAAAACACTTCAGAAATCTTGAGCACTTTCGAGCTTAACACGTCATGTCAGAATCTGTCAACACCTGCCGATACGTGTAAAGCCCCAAAACACTCAAGTTCTCTAAAAATAATTTCCACTTTTGAAGAGAACAGTTTAATCAAATTTATAAAAACTAATGCAGAGTTTGTTTTCATTCCTTGTTATTTATTTGAGAGAAATAATTTTAATAAATCCACAAAATATAAAAATAAAAATATTAATATTTTGGATCTCAGTTTGTTAACAATATGCCTTATATTAGTTAAAATACTAGAAATGTAAGTTGCTGTTTAAATGTATGTACAAGTTGGGTCCAATACAAGAATTGAAATTGTTTTAGTAAAGAACCAAAACTTCAAAACACATCCACATATAAACAATTCTGTTATAAATTTATCATATTTTACATAATTTAAAGAAAATAAAATAAGTTTTATTATTTCTTAAGTATAACAACTTAAAAAAAATCGAAATGAATTACTTACCAAAATCAATTAAATCAAAATGTAACGAAATAGGTAATAATACTTAAATCTAACATTTAAACTGTTCAATCATTTGTAGAAGACCCAAGAAATTTAAAATACAGAAAAATATTTGCTTTAGCGGCATTTAAAAAACAAAAATATATAGATTCTCGCACTTCCAGAAAACCTTCAAGGAATGTTAATTCTATAACTAAATATTTTTGATATGTCCAAAAGTGCTAGAAGTCACAGGTATGTTGCCTTGTAAAGCTGTTTGTAAATATTGTTTCTGTATATATCAAATTTCACTCATAAATAATGAAAAATTATAACTGTTGTTATAAAAATTATAATACTGAAGGTCAATAATGGCATATGTACCTCACAGTCTGAAAAAATTTTTCAAATACTTTTTCATTTCTGGTAGCCATCTCGAATTCTGTTTCGGCACTTTCAAACTTTGCTGCACTAGAGCTGCAGCAGCTAACTAATAGCAGAAGTTACTAAACTGTCTTATAACAAAGCCAGTTTAACTATTTAAACACAGACTGTCCAAAATCATCTTAAACCACTAAGGACAAAGGAAAAGTTGTTTGACTGGTTTTGTTACAGAAATTTCATTTGTAGCCCAAGGGGTAAAAAGCAAATTCATTTCCATGTATGCAAAAAGAAGAAATTTCCAAGTTAAACAGCTTTACTAGGAAATACACCCTTGTTTTACATTCTATTTTACATCTTAAACTCCACTAATGCAAGTATTCTTCTATCACTTAATTATGCCAATTATAAACTGATTAATTTTGACAATTAGTATATTTGAGATATTACAATATTGCTCTTTTTGTTAGTTTTTAATTTTTAAAGTTTCTTAGTATTTAAAATATACCAGGTTTAGATTAAGTCCCCTGAGGATGGATCTACAGCTCCAAAAATGTTTGGGATTTTTACATCATTCAGCTGTAATAAAGCAGCTTTTTATATAAGTTATTGAAAAGGTCAACTGGATGCATAAACTCAAAGGCAATTAAAATGAATAAAAAAATATATATATATTGCAAAATTTTTAGTTGATTTTTGCTTATAAGAAACTAATTTTCTAAGAATCATAAATAAAAAATAAAACCAGAAGAAAATAAAAAATATTTTCTATGCATTTTGATATTAATCCAAAAATTATAAACCATTAATCGTAAGCTAATTATGAATTAAATTATATTGCACTTCTCAATTTTATGAACAGAAATTTAGTCCGAAATGAGTGTTGACATTTTTGCTCATTCTCTAAGACTTACTTTAGAATAATGATATGTGGTAAAAATGTTTTTAAAGATTTCTTTTTGTACTTCTAGACTAGGAAATACCAAAAGTTATAAATTAAAAAAAGTGTAATTACAAATGTAAAATAATTCTTTCGAATTATTGAGGAAAAGTATTCTCTTTCTTTATAAAATCCAGGAAGACATTACACATTTTTATGTGCAGTATTTTCTTTTTTTTTTTTTTTTTTTTTTTTGTAAATAGTAAGTGCAATAACATCCTATTTATGTTACAGAATTGTACAGTGAATAACTACATTTAAAAAGAAATTATTGTTAATGGAAGGATCTAAAATTATAACTTAACAGAATTATATTGCCATCAATGATATGTATGTTTATTTTGAAAGATTTTATTGTAACAGTAATGCAGACATGCTGCGAACTTCAAAACTTTGTTAAATTAGTTTTGATATGCTATAAAAATCTTTCATTGTAACTAAATATCTTCTATAATATCTAATTGAATATTAAAAACAAGCTTCAGTAATTACGTTATTTAGTTATTTATATAATTACTTTTTGTATATTTATTCTTTGATAAAATACTTTAAACTAAAAAATAAATGGGGGGCAATTTTTATGAATTATAGTAAAGCATTGAAGATTTTTTTTTTCTTCTATAAATCTTCAAAAACAATTAATGCAATTAAATTATATGCAAAGGTCTCAAACATGCAGTCTGCCTAATTGGATTTTATCAATCCTTCAGAGAAATTTTATTAAAAAATAATTTAAAAAATGGATATAGTATATAGGCAGATTTATAATTTTTCTCAATGATAATGTTAGTGAAATCTAGAAGCAATTTCACTTTTACCTACTGTAAAGACTAATTTACGATCATCCATACAAATACTTACATTTATGAAAATGTTAATTTTTGTCGTATGAATCAATGAAATTTTCATCAGAATCTGGAAATAAGTTAAAGCTTTTTTTTAATAAAGTAAAAATTACATTACAGACACTAGACATATCTTCATTGCTTGGCATGTCCAATCACCAGGAACAATTATTCTCCACTGCAGAGATGACCTTTCTTTGTAGGCTAATACTCTGCACAAATATGTAAAACAGTACAAAGAAATGTTATATTTTTAATTGTGGTGGGATTATCACCTGTTGACATTTTAGACTGTTTTACGTATTTGTGCAGACTAGTAGCCTACAAAGAAAGGTCATCTCTGCAATGGAGAATAGTTGTTCCTGGTGATTAGACATGGCAAACAATGAAGATATGTCTAGTATCTGTAATGTAATTTTTAATTTATTAAATTGTAATTTCCGCCAGCTCTTTTTTACAACAGAAGTTAAAGCTTTTTACAAGAATAACAATAAGTAGAAAACTAGAGCAATTAAATGAAAATTTACTTGAAAAGAATAGACTTGGTGATGCCTGACTATTGTATCACACACTTCCAAATATTATCCCTCCGATCTACTGTAATTAAATGCTCAAAATTGATACATGTTAGAACAATAAGAAGTATAGCAAAATAATAAGTCCAGTATTGCCACATCTGTTCCTTGCAAGTAAACTTCTCATTTGATCACCTAGTCACATATCTTCTATTCTGAATATCGATATTTTAAACAATCTCATACTCATTTAACTTTTATTGTCCGGTACTGCTTAACCATTCATAAAACAAACATTTTCAGCCTCAGTCGAGGTTTGCTTCAGGTTAAAAGAATAATCGGATTCCACTCTTAGAATGAACGTCTAGTTTTTAAAGTATATTTGAACTTATGCGCCAAGAACAAGAAAATGATGATGATACATAACATGTGCATAAGTTCAAATATAGTTTAAAAACTAAACGTTTATTCTAAGAGTGGAATCCGATTGTTCTTTTAATCTGAAGCAGACCTCAACTGAGGCCGAAAATGTTTGTTTTATGCTATAAAAATGGTTAAGCAGTACCAGACAATAGAGGTTAAGTGAGTACAAGATTGATCATTTAGTAAAATAAAACAAATACAACCTCACCATAAACTGGAACTGTAGAGTCGCATTTATCAGCCGAAAACATTCGATCTTTAAAATTTTGGACTTTTACTTTGCTGGAAAGTTTGAATTTAGGTGTAGTAAAATAAAGACCTTAAAAAGCAATTTGGAATTGGTAGATTGTTATTAATGGCATGCATCTTGCTCTGCAACTGTTTGTGGTCCACAACCTGTTAAAAGTTTGAGACCTTTGCTATAATGCAACATTTTTATAAAATGTTTTAAATGGCAACCTAAATAACAACACACATATTTAACAATTCAAATACTGAATGTATGGACAGAAATATTATCCAACAAACTATTTTTCACACTTCTGTCATTATTTAATCAATAATTTCATGCATTAGAAGTTTGGAAAAACAGACTCAATTGGATCCGATTAGAAAGTTAGAAAGTTAACTAGATAAATTTAAATGCTGTACTGAATAATACTTTGGAAAATACATCCAATAAATTTATCAAAAAACATTTTGTACTAATTTGTGTACTTGGTTAAACAGTTATGAAGTTTTTCATCTAAATTTTACCAACTTGAGCTGATGATGGAAGCAAAGTCTTACCCAAACAATGAGTTAGACTACCCTTTCTCTTTACCCTTTGACAAGTACTGTTTACTTGGCCATTGTCAACTATTATTGATTGTGTCAAAAGCCATAGCCTAGACATGAATAGAAGCAGGTCTAAATTGTGGTTTAGGTCTAGGACTTTGTTTCTAAATCAGCCCAATTTTTTTAGATATAAATTTGAAACGTCTGAAACCACATCAAAGAATATTAGGGAATTTAAGGTACTAAACTGATCTGATTAATTTTCTTTCATATATTTTTAAACATATACAAATATTCTCATTGTAATAAATTTTGAATTATTATAAATTAATAATTATTTATCCTTATACACTTTATTTATTTATTTATTTTGCAAACGTTCATTAGCCTAACCTGCAAAAAAATATCTGGGAATAGACTAGAAACAACACAAATTAGTACAAATTAATAAAAATTTTAAATAAAAACAGATAAAAATTTACAGGTAAACATTATTACACTATTTAAATTCCGAGTAATGAGTTTGATTAACATTTTCTTCTTTTAAAAAACTGAGATGACTAATGACCGATTGATGTGCAATGAACTATGGGAAAATGCAGGTTACTGGCCAAAGACATCAATGTATTTGTCTATATTTAAGAGGAGCATTCGCAGCACAAATCCCATTATCACGGGGATACATCTTATGATAATACCATCAAGTTCTATCGGCAACTTTTTCTTATTATTATTATTTTTTTTTATAACAGCACTTAGTAAACCTCTCAGTTCATAGGAATAAGTAACAAATGAAAGTGGAAAAATTGGGTTGCTGGCAAATTTTAACCATGAGTGGGCCAGCCAAAGGCTGAGAAATTGGGAGGATTATTTTGCAAGAGAGGCCATGTCATACCTCCTCCTCGATTGGCTTCCTCAGCCTGTTGTAATTGTCATGCCAACAGTCCCAGTCTTGTTACTTTGGCAGACAGAAAAGTGTGAAGTGTGAAGACAAAAGGTTTTGGACATTGGAGCATATCAAGTTCCTAAAAAAAAAAAAACAAAAGAAAAGACTACAAATATTGTAATAAATATAATTTTTAATTATACAATGTGTCGTAAGTTTCGAAATAGTACCTTTTCACCATCTTCTCCTCCAAAATCTAACCAAACAAGTCTCATGCCATCATCGGCTGTCATTCGGAGTTTCTCATATGGCAATTGCCACATGACAGTGAGTCGACGAGAATCCAAGAGGATAAAGCCATTCTCATAATGTAAAGTCAGAACACAGTCTTGACCTTGATAAATACATGCTACAAAATAAACCGATATGATAGTTTTAAACAGATTATCCCATGATAAAAATTAATTTGTTATACAAAATTTCAATTCTAAATTAATTAAAGTGCTCATTAATTCCTTCTAGCACTTGTTCAACATCAGGGATGTCTAACCTTCGGGCATGGAATGTGCTTAGGGCCAAACTTGCAAGCCTGCTTGATATCACACCACCAAAGTGCATCAAGCAGGCTTGCAAGTTTGGCCCTAAGTACGGTCCACGCCTGAAGGTTAGATATCCCTGATGTTAATTAAAGTGCTATATTATTGACATGTTAATTTATTATGTAACTCAGACTACTTGAATTTGTAGTATAAATCATAGCACAGTATAATAGTATTGTTTCATATTTCCTCCATTACGAGAAAATTTTTTTATGGATAGATAGATCTTATCTTACATAGAAACAGATAGCAAAGAAGATTAGAAATAAATGTGTAAGGATTTTAATATAAATCTTGTAATGAGATCTTTAAGCATATATAAAACATAACTTTTAGAAAACTAAATTCACTATCCAAAATTAGACAAATAATAAAAAGAAAAGCAATCTAATATACAACACAATCAGTGTCTAAATTGAATCAATAGCTGAATATAAGACTAAATTGTAGAGTACTTCCAGAATATATTAAGACTTATTTAATTTAATAAATAAATGAAATCATTTCCAAATTACTTAAATAACAGATTTTGGAGGAAAGAACTGATCTAGAGAGAAATTCAAACTCACAATTAAATTAATATAATTAGCATTAATAAACCTTGAAAACAATGCAGCAATTTAGTTTTATGTTTGGCAAAAGAATTCTAATTAATCAGTTAACTTATCTTTCTTTTTTACTATTCTTCTAGCTCTCCTTTAATTAAAACGAGAGCAGAAAGAACTGTAACAACATAACTGTTTTCTTAGCGTTACATTGTTAAAATGTAGCAATTAAATTAAATTATGAATAATGCATATAAATTTACATTATTGTAATAAAATATTAACTTTTTTTTAAACTGAAAATTGATTAGAATTACATTAATTTGGCAAGTGCTAGAATGAGCTAGATAATCTTTTCTTAATTAAAAAATTTATAGTACAAATCAAACATTCTATTATTTAAATATGCTGAAGTTTTGCCATAAAATTTTAGAAATGTGATGCACTTAATAAACGGAAATGTGCCAAGTTATTGACACAACAAAAAATTGTATAAATGCCAATGAAAAATTCAATAAAAAATTTTGATAATAAGTAACTTGAATCATTAATTAATCCTCCTTGCCTGCCTGCCACATTGTGGAAAGAAGACACAACAGCACACTATTGGCTTGTCTGTTCACATTACCAACAGACCCATAAAGCTGTGCTCTATACTTCAATAAATTGAACTTTGATGTCTAGTTTGTCTACTCTATATTGGCCAACTGCAAACTTGTCTCTTGGCAAACACACCACAGCTCTGGAGATGTTCCTCTGCCAAATAGGTCATTTCATGTAACCAATACTGGTTCCTGGATTGGAGAAGAATGCCAATAGGCTGAAACCTCCATATAAATAGTAGAGAGATAGAGAATAATTAATCCTGAACATTTTTAATAACTCCTACAAAATTATTCTCTATGAAAACTTTAGAAAGAGAAGAATCTGAAATGATTACTAAATTTTTCACTTATATGTATTATCTCTAAAATTTCAGTGTCTAGTTGATTATTATGAAACTTATTATGAAGATATTAAAATTATATCTTGCTACAAAAAACAAAAATTTTGTAAAACACATTATCAACATCCATTATAATTATCTTCAGATCTGTTAACAGAGAACAAACATATTGAGACAGAGAAGCTTTCTTTTCAACTTATAAAATGCTTTATTTGGTGCCAGAAGTAAAAAGATTTAAGTAAAAAAAAAAAAATATACAAAATTGTATTATTTCAGTGCTTTCAAGTCTATATTCATCTTTAGGAATAAATGAACAGAGTAAATAGTGCTGTGGCAATGTAACAATGTGTTGTTTCAGAAACTGAAAGAAAAACTTAAATTTAAATTAATTAATTAATCAAATTAACCAATAACCAAATTTCTTTCAATTAGCAAATTTGGTTAATTAATTAATTTAAGCTTCTAATTTCAACAACATGCTGTTACATTGTCACAACAATTGTATTTGTTCTATTCATTTATTCCTGAAGATAATTTAGGCTCTAATGCATTAGAAACATATTGTCTTATTTTTACTAAATCTATTTGTTTTTAGCTTACAAACAAAACAATTTATAAGTTATTTTATGTCTGAAGATATATTTTCACCATATGAACAGAAGTTATTATATGTATTTCTTATTCTTAAAAAAAAAAGAGCATTTCTCTGTCAAAATGTAGTTATTCTATTGAGGAAAACAGTGTTGATATGCATGAAATAAATGTATTTATTAAATTTGACTTCTACAACAAACTTACTGTTTTAATATTTTTGTGTATTATTTGAAGAATCAATAAAGTATTCAAATTGATGACAGAAAAGAAATGAAGATGTTTAAATGTGGAACAGCAGCTGAAACAAATATGAATTTTCACTTAAAATAGCAAGAAACCTAGAGTAGAAAAATGTAGGCAAAGCAAAACTGTTAAATCCAAAAGAAATTTAATCATAAATTATAATTAACTGCAGATAACTAATTTTTTGTGATTCTTTTCTGAATAAAATCTCCCTTAGGAAAGAAAGTCTCAAGATATCAGGTTATTACTAGACATTATTAATTATCTGTTATTTGTTCAGTGGATGTAGCAATATCAAATTACTTAAATCTGTAACTATTTGATATACAGGGTGTAGACAAAAAAACATTGTACCAGGCTATATCTTGCTTCTACTATGTATTAGTTAAATACAAATGACTGAAAGTATAGTTAGTCGATATTGAGTAGATTATTTGAAAATAAGTTGCCATGAACCCTGACACCCTCTTCATGGGCCCAAATCCTATCTCAACTCCTATGAAAGACAGCAGCACAATTTAAATTACAAAGTTGCAGATCTTCTGAAGATAAATACAAAATGTTTCTCGTCCACTTAAAATATTTAAAGGGAAAGTAGTTATACTAGATGCCATCAAAATAGAATAAGTTGTAAAACTGTGTGGCATTGAGTGTGGAAGGCCACACAGAGAAGCTTTACATAGTTCCCCCCCTTTGAGTATTTCAACCAGACAAAAAACATTTTGTACTGATCTTGAGATGCATCATAAATTGTGCTGCTGTCTTTTGTGGGAGCCAAGATAGGATTTGGTGCAATGAGAAGGGGGTCAAGTGCATCAAATAGTCTACTTGGATTATATATATTCTTGTGCCCTTGTACTTAAGTAACATGTTTCAGAAGCAAGATATAGCCTGATGCAACATCTTTCTGTGTGTAGACTGCTTTTCAGCAGATTAATTTAATCATAAGAAAAATCACTAAAAATACATTTTATCATCATTCTAATCAACTAAACAGACTGAATTTACTTACAAAACCTAGCTTCTTTCATAGAAATGGCTGCTGCATGTGCACTCTGTACAAGATGCCGTGCCCATGTAGCCAAATCTCTATGAGTCTCTACCCTCATCACTCGAGATTCGATACCCTGCCTTGTTCCTAGCCGGACGGTAAAAGTTGTGATGTCTGTAATTCCTGGAACGACAACACCCTGTTGGCGTCCAATACTACTAGAATGTACTAATCTGAAAGAAATTTCACATATAAATATCATAAAAAATTTTATAAAAAATTTATTCAGAAAATTTTCAAACCTTGTTTGTACTAATGGGAAACTGTGTACAGGAACTGCCCAGGCTTCCTTTGTCCACGGAACTAAATCATAGAATAATAAATCTCGATCTGTTATTGCTACAAATACAGGTCTCCATTGAACACTTCCTCCTTCATCATTTGCCTAAAAATGATGATTATTTTCAAAAATAAATGATTAAAATATGAATAAAATTTAATCTAAGATCTAATACAATAGTTAAAGGAAGAACTATCAGCTTCTCTTATTAAACTTTTACTTGATCAATAAATCTTTCTATCTACATAAATTGCTATCTCCAAATCTAAATTATACTTAGGATTTTCAAGCTAGTAATGAAAACATATAATCAATTTTTGATTAAATTATTTCACATTAAAATTATAAAAATTTGCATTAGATGTAGGCATCATCTCAAATTCTTTAATAATTACAATTAATTTTAATTAAATTAACACAGGTTCCATAAACAGTAAGACATCTGAAGTCCCACTTCTGTTCTTATCTTCTCTTTCTGAATTTCCTGAATTATTTAATTATAATCCAAATTAATTTATAATTATGCTCAGCACAAGATGGCTGATTTAACTGCTTAAATTTAGTTAAACTATAGAATTTGGTTTAATCAATAATCAGCTTAATTCTAGTCCAAAAGTAATTTGGCTGTTAGAAGTGTGGCTATTATACATTAGAAGAAAACAATAACTTAGAATAGGATTTAAACTTGTAACTGTTATAAGATGAAGTGAATGTTATGGCCAAATGAGTGATACAGAGAAGTTACGAGCAATCTATGGTTTGTGACATTCTAACATGCGGCTGCCAGGACTTTGGTAACAATTTTATTTCCTACTAGCTGTTACCCGCGACTTCGTCCGCGGAGGTTTTGCAAGCAAACCCTATTTACATTCAATATTTCAATAACCATAGTAATTGTTATATAACACCTACCGCTGAAGAGAATTGCCGAGAATCAAACGAACTATTTTCAATTTGATCAATTTTCTGAAATGTTTACAACCGTTCTATAATCGAACCAATATAACAAATTCAAATTTAAAACAGTTCGAACATTTTTAAAATCGAAATATATGAAAATATTTATAACAATGTCTGAAATGTTATTAATTTAATACACCTAAGTACTCAATGAAGACTGAACATAGTTGAAAACAAAAAATCGCATCTAAAATAGTACAGTAGAAGCTGTTCTTCCGGTTAAGACTTAATCCTCCCCCTTTCCCCCGCGAGTGAATTTTGAAAAATCCCTTCTTAGTGTGCATTCTCAATGCAAATTTTATGACATTTCTTGTATGAATGGCATTTAATTTAAATTATGGTTTTACAATGTAAATGAATTCTCGGATTTGAAGTTCATCACAATAACTGTTTCTTCAAAATTTTGTAAACCATTCGCCAGCGAAAATAAGGCATATGACCCTGTGTGAAATTAATTTTTGCATCTCTCGTTATATACTCCGCATATTTCAATGCAAACATTCCACAATCGCTTCCATTCATTTGATGAGGTATATTTTTTACTGTTTCTAGTGCCCATCCACTCATATCGAATTCTTCTTTCTTTTTATCCATTCTCTTATCTTGTAAATATGTTCTTAGTGCATTTAAACACTCGTCATTTTGCCCTCCCATAGAATCATAATACTGAATTTTTTTATGTTGGAAGTCAATGACAGCTAAACACCAGTGCATTCCCATATGAACGGGAATAAGCAGCATGTCATATTCAAAAATGTCAACTTTTCTTGTCCATCTTTTCAATGCACTGTGACCAATTTGGTATAGAAAAATGTATTAAAGGCATATACAGTTGGAAAATATTCTAATTTGCTTCTTTCCATAAGCAAATTCATGTAGAAATTAATTATTTCATCATTAAGCCAATTAAGTCCCGCAAGTGTCTCCATATCTCTGCGTGCAACAGACAGACGAAAACCTTCGGCTAAGACTTCATCTGGAGGATTTGGCCTTAAAGCATCATCAACTTCCACATCCATTTCAGATGTTAATTCTGGAAAACCAAGGTCTACAACAAGAAGGTCAGGACACGCGTGACCTACTTCTTGAGCTGCCATTTTGGGGTTTTTCGAGTAGCATGTTTTAAGCAAACTTGCACGAGCAGTCAGTTTTATACAACATTAATTAAACTAAACTTGCATAAAACTGATGCAATTACGTATATAAGCACTTCGTAAAGTGATGCAATAACATAAAAAAAATTTAAAGTATAATAAAGAANCGAACACACTGTGCTCGAATGCTCGTGTAAACGCGCGCCATCTATCGTAGGATAAATGTACTTCGCGGGAATGTATTAAAAAACTTTCCGAAGTTTTATGGCAATCGTACTATGCCACAAACCTTCCCCGGAGTATATTAAACAACTTCCCAAAGTTTCACAGCAATTGGATAAACAGTGTGGTAATGCATGAAGGACAGACACACACACACATACATTCATTTTTATATATATAGATTTTTTGCTTCATGCCATTATGCAACCCTAATTAAGCTGATATTTGTGAAGAACATTCAAATTAAACTTGACCAACAAAAAGATGAGAATAATACTAGTAGTAAACAAGCAAGCTAGATATAATAATATTAGCTTGCTTATCACTAGTATATATTATTTTAGTATCGAGTGTACTGGCAGTTATGAAGTATGTTGATACTTGACTGATTTAAAGCTGCAACTCTACAAAAAAAAAAAAAAAAATTAGTGGCCCACATATAGAAAAGATTGCTTATCACTGTTATAGTGTGTCTGTGACCAGAAATATCCCCAGAAGGCAGTGACAGTAGACAGAAGATATAACAATTATATGTTATTTAAAGGCAAAAGTTATTTCAATGCTTTGATACTGTAACTTGGTAACATATCTGCCTATTTTGCAACAGTTACAAGTTTAATTCCTATTAATATCAAATTTTTCCATAAAAATTTCATTATTAAATTTAAATTAAAAATTAACTTTTATAGTCTATCATTACAACATACATGAGAAGATGACATTACCTATCTCTAGTCCAAATTTTTAAATAATATTTTAATTTATAAATTTTTCTGGATTATTTAAATTCCAAAAAAATCTGATGATATTCATGGTTTGCTTAAGAACTTCACACTGAATAAGTTTGTATAGTGATATAAAAATTAAGCAATTCATATTCATATCTTTAAAATCAACAATTTAAGATAAAAACTGCAACTGATCTAAAATAAATTACAAATATGTAAGACTAAAACTTTGAATTTAGAAATAAGATTACTCATTAACATGCCAAGAATTCAAGTAAATATAAAAATATTGCTTTAATGGTAAATGGTAAAAATTTTAAATATAAAAAGTTCACTAATACCATGGGCACAAAAAAATTTTCCATAAGACAAAGCTTGGAGACAAATAATTATACCAATAAATTTCTATTTAATTATTTAATTTTTCTGTTTTTTTTTTTTCTCCAGAATTAGGTTATAAAATACAACATTTCATCAAAGCAACCCATGGTCAAGGGTGTAAGGTTACAATCAATGACATTTACAATTATAATTTGTGGAATTTTTTACTTGATTCCAGGGAAGCAGGTGTCCCATTTGACTCTCTGTGAATGCCCATGACTAGTACTTTCAAACTTCTTAGGTCCTCTAAAGATGGGCCTAAGAAATTCAAATTAGTGGACTTATGTTTTAAATTTTTAACTGTTTTGACTCTAGGAAAACAGTATTTTTATGTTTTAAGGTCATATTAACCCAAATTATTCAAAATACACATAAAGCCTATTAATCAGCAATAAATTAAATGATCAAATTTCTAACAATAAAAAACAAAGGATGCGTTTCCAAATTTAAGAGTTTGAATCTTTGATGATTGCTGTTTCTATCATCATCCTTTTAGGCTTTTATAATTTAATTTACAAACAAATATATATTTTTAAATTAATAAACCAAAGTATTTTAATTTATAGAAATGTGTCTGAATCTACTTTAGATATGTTGCATTGATTTTACTTAAATTTAAAAAAATAATAATAATAATAATAATTTGTATCTATATAAAATTATAAATAATTTAGATGAGATGTTTAACTTATATATTCTCTCATTAAAGATTTGTATATATTTATCACTTTTTAATAATTTTACATTTGTTTGACAATGAAATAAATCTAGTTAACATTTACCTTTTCTGCTAACCATCCCATATGTTTCAATTCTGCATTATCTAACACATCAATTAGTAAATTGCTAGCCTCCACCACAGCAGGTGCCATAAGACTGCTAATTGCAGAATGCACAGCATTGAACCAAGCTGAACACTGCACACTGTCAGTACATCGAAGCGCACACGCATGACGACGATCCGGAGAATGAATTTCAAAGGTTCTGTTTTCTGCATCTGGAGTCGTAAAGTTTCTTGCCAGATGACACAAAAGTAGGGGTACGTAACGTGTGTCTGACCGGGGAATCTTGTGCCGACCCTGAGCCGATTCCCTGGATAAAAATCCACCTTGCTGGAAATCCCAGCCAACTTCTGACAATACTGACGCTTTCCGAAAATATGGAGTCACTTCTCGTAAATACTTCACTGTAAGATAAAACGACGAGACGACTTCGATATCATGGTAGAAGGAACATGGGTGCAATAATATGTTGCGATGGCGAATGAAGTAAGTAGAGTCCCATGTGGAGGTGGGACATGCAAGGGAAAAAGGAAGACACATGCAACACACATTTAAATTTTGTTAAGCATTCAAAAGCTAGATTTCAACAGATTGTCACTTCTTTTAAATTAAAAACTTTTTATAAAATAGAATATAACAGAGTAATTTTTCAGAATTTTCTGTACAACACGTGAATTTGAAATATTTGCTGACTAAATATTGATTTTTCTTATTTTGTGAATTTGTAAATATATTCAGCTTACTTGACATCAATATCTTTCATTTGTTTTTAATCTGGGCTCAATTTAAATGTATTTACACATAACACTAGAAAAAAATATTGTTAAATATGTGCATAAAAAAATTGATAAATTGTCACTCATAAATCACAATTGGTATTGTTTTTTTCTAATGCTTACAAATATCAAATCAATTGTCAATCATTTTCACATACATTA